GCTCCTTTAGGCATACTAAATGTATGTAAGATGAGTCAGGAAGATTTCTTTTTAAATTTTTTAAATATGAAGTGGATGAACTTCCAAAACATGAGCAAAAATATTATTTATGAAGGTGCCCACCTTTGGAGATAATTAAATAACAAAATGCATGTTCCCTAAAATATGAATGACTCCATAATGCATTTCTCAAAGTAAGTCTGCATTCTATCTGATTTTATAAACACTTACAGAATATTCAAACATTCTACAATTTATTTTGCATAACCAGTGTCTGGATCTCTTTAGAACAATATGCTGCTACCATGCCATCATTAAAGGTTTGAAAATTTAGATATTTGTATTTGCTTACTTTTAAAGTAAGGGCCTCATCTTTTTGGTTGCTCTGATTTTTTTCACAACTTTTCCATAAAATCACTATAAATACGGAAAGTCAAAATAGAATCAAGGTGTCCGATATCATCTACATTCAAATGCTCACAAACTCTCACATACATTAATATGTAAAGGCTGGAACTTACTATTATACAAAGACTGTTATTATCAACATTTACTTTTTCTTATAGTTCTAATAAAGAAAAAGGCACAAGGCTAGGAGTGGAGAGACTTGAGATCTATTTTCAGCTCTGGCCATAAGTAGTTGTATTTCCTTAGGAGAGTAAATTTTAACTTTATTTTTTATATGTCTGTTTTTACCTTGATGATAACAGAGTGTTCAGTTAGATTTCTGTTCAGCCAACAAACCATCATGAGTGCATATTATGTTTACAGTCCCAACTAGATGGGGGGCAATGCCGAGGGTTGCAGGTGGGCACTCAAACCAGTCCTTTCTCTCTAGGCATTTCCCCTAACATCAACTTCTCTCTCATATCCGTGTTCTAGTTTGAGGTTTCCAGCTACCTAGATATTACCTTTAACTCAAGCTGTTTAAAAACAGACTCATCAACGTCCTGATAAAATAGATTTTCCTTTCTCTGTAAATGACTATCCATTTCCCAGTGAGCCAGTTCAGAAGTTTTAGAATCTACCTGACTTATTTTACACCTTCAATTGCCATTTCCAAACTTCCACCAAGACTTAATGATTCATCTGAATTTATCTTGGGTATACCTTTCTTTTATTCCAGTTGTCCCTAATCCAACCTGGGGCCTCATCTGTAAGTACTAGATTAAAATTCTTGCTTGCCTTTATATTTCCTAGTTTTCAGACACTTCTTTGTACAATCCAATCTATATGTAATTTCCCAAACTAACTTTCATGAAACAACAACCTACAATGGCTTCTTGATTCCCTCTTAGGTCTGGGATCCGTTGCTTGGCTTTTAGGGTCTGCCATTATCCTTCCTTCTTCTACCATCGCAGTAAAAGACCTGTTTACCTACGAACACACTCACTTATTCTCAAGTCTATGCCCTTGCTCATGTGGCTTCCCAGCTTAGAGTGACATTTTTT